CGCCCCGGGGCCGGGAGGAGCGGGGGAGGCGGGCCGGACGGGACGCGGAGGAAGAGCGGGGACCGCCCCTCACCGGCCTCGGCAGGTGCTGAGTGCGGGCCGAGAGCCGGCACGCCCGGCTCTGGTCCAGGCCCCCCAGCCTCCTCCTGGCACCTCTGGGAGCAGCTTAAGGAGACTGGGCTACGAGGCTGAGGGACGACGAGCGGCTCCGCCTTGGGCCGCCCTGCAGTCCCAGCCTGGGCAATGAGGTCAAAGACTGGACAGGCTTCTAAAACAAAAAATCACACACGTGAGGAACGTGCTCCTTAGTTCAGTCAAATAACCAGACCAAATGGGCGGCTCATGTCCAGAAGCAGGACGAGAACGCAGGAAGGGACAAGAACTGGACGAACGGACACAGGGAGCCCGGGGTGGAAAGGGGGAGCGTGCTGTCAACATTGTGGAGATTGCAACCAGTATCACAAAACAGTATGTGTATAGATTTTTGAATCAGAAACTACCTTGAGCTGTAAACTTTCACCTAAAGCACACACACGTGCACACACACCCACACACACCCACACACACACACAAAGATATTTGTGCAGGTCATGATCACCACCTGCTTAAGGGAAATCAACTTTGATACCAGGCAGGGAGGTCAGGGAGGAGGGTCTTGGAATAAATGGTTGTGATATAGAGTCCCTGGGTGGTGCAAACGGTTAACCCACTCGCTACTAGTGGAAAGGTTGGAGGTTCAAGTCCACCCAGAGGAGCCTCCAGAAGAAAGTTCTGGTGATCTACTTCTGAAAAATCAGCCATTGAAAACCCTCTGGAGCGCAGTTCTCCTCCGACACACATAGCGTTGCCAGGAGTCTGAGTCGACTCAGTGGCAGCTAGTTTTAACATGGCCATGATACCAAAGGGCGGGCAGTGATGAGAATGCCAGGAGCCGCCCTCAGAAGCCTTCCAAGGGTCAATCAACAGGATTGGCAGACCTCTTTATTGGCTTCCCTGTCTCTCACCCCCTCCCAATACTTCCTGGGGTCACTGCTGTCGTCGTCAGATGCCAGCGAGTCAGATGCCACTCACAGTGACCCTAATTACAACAGAGGGAAACACTGCCTGGTCCCGCACCATCCTCACAACCATTGTTATGTGTGAGCGCATTGCTGCAGCCACCGTGTCAATGCATCTCCTTGAGGCTCTTCCTCTTTTTCGCTGACCCTCTGCTTTACCAAGCACGATGTCCTTCTTCAGGGACTGATCCCTCCTGACAACATGTCCAAAGTATGTGAGACAAAGTCTCACCATCCTTGCTTCTAAGGAGCATTCTGGCTGTACTTCTTCCGAGACAGATTTATTTGTTCTTCTGGCAGTTCACAGTATATTCAATATTCTTCGCCAACACCAGAATGCAAAGGCATCAATTCTTCTTCGGTCTTCCTTATTCATTATTCAGCTTTTGCTTGCATATGAGGCTATCAAAAATATCATGGCTTGGGTCAAGCGCACCTTAGTCCTCAAAGTAACAGCTTTGCTTTTTCAACACTTTAAAGAGGTCGTTTGCAGCAGATCTTCCCAATGCAATGTGTCGTTTGATTTCTTGACCGCTGCTTCCATAGGTGTTGATTGTGGATCTAAGTAAAATGGAATCCTTGAAACTTCAGTCTTTTCTCTGTTGATCATGATGTTGCTTATTGGTCCAGTTGTGAGGACTTCTGTTTTCTTTACGCTGAGGTGTAATCCACACCGAAGGCTGTGGTCTTTGATCATACTTGCACTCAAATCCTTGGGTCAAGGTGGGATTCGGGGGAGCCCCAGCAGTCCTTGGGCTGTCTAAGTTAGAGACATTTGAAAGGGGCTGCCGGCACGTTCAGCATCATGGAGATACTACTGGCACAGTGATTAAGCGCTCAGCTGCTAACCAAAAGGTCAGCACTTGGGCCTCACCAGCCGCTCTGCAGGAGAAAGATGTGGCAGTCTGCCTGCATAAAGGTTACAGCCTTGGAAACCTATGGGGCAGTTCTGCTCTGTTCTATAGAGTCACTATGAGTCGGAATGAACGGCAATGGTTGTTTCATTTTTCAATCGAGATAAAACCACCAGCGCCCCCTGCCTCCCAGCTCTAAGCGAGCGCAGAGTCTTTATGCCAGTCTTCCTTGGGGACGGGGTGGCTGGGGCTGAAGCAGCAGTACTGCCGGGAGGGCTGTGTACTGCTCACCTCGTGGGGGCCCAGCTTTGTCTGACAACGTGTGGCAAGTACCAAACCCTCTGCTCTCAAGTCCCCTTGAGTTTCTCCGTGGGACCCCACATCAGTGTCACAAACGAAGGCGAGATAATGGGGAACTGGGTCAGAACTGGCGTGAGCCACCCCAGCTTAGGAGTCCCTGGGTGGTGCAAGCAGTTAATGTGCTCGGCTGCTAACCAAAGGTTGAAGGGTCAAATCCACCCAGTGGCACCTCAGAAGAAAGGTCTAGCGATCTACTTCCCAAAAATTAGCCATTCAAAAGCCTATGCCCAGCTACCACCAATGACCATCCTGACAGGGAACACAACAGAGAGTCCCTGACAGAGCGGGAGGAAAGTGTGGAACAGAACTCAAGCTCATGTAAAAAGACCAGACTTAATAGTCTGACTGAGACTGGAGGAACCCCCGAAGCCATGGCCCCCGGACTCTCTGTTAACCCAGAACTAAAACCATTCCCGAAGCCCACTCTTCAAACAAAGATTAGACTGAACTACAAAACATAAAATAATACTCATGAACAGTCTGTTTCTTAGTTCCAGCAGACACACAAAACCAAATAGGCAGCTCCTGTCGGGAGGAAGGATGAGAAGGCAGGAAGGGACAGGAGTTGGCTGGATGGACATGGGAAACCTGGGGCAGAAAGGGGAGGGGTGCTGTCACATTGTAGGGATTGCAGCTAGGGTCACATAACAATATGTGTATCAATTTTTGTATGAGAAATTAACTGGAGCTGTAAACTTTCACCTAACACGCAAGAAAAAAGAAAACCCTGTGGAGCACAGTTCTACTCGGACACACATGGGGTGCCATGAGTTGGAGGCCACTCAATGGCAGCTGGTAAACCCAGCTTAAGCAGCAGAGGTCTGTGACAATTTCACCCCGCCCGGCCAGCATCATTGTCCCTCTGTCCCTGGGCAGTGTTGTGCATTAACTGCACGTCCTTACCTCTAGCTGTGCCCCAGAACATGGTCACAGTCCCCTTCCCTTAGGTAGGATATGGTGAGTAATGGGACAGGTCCTGGCCCACACACTCAGAGGTAGAAGCAATAACATTTTCTTTTCTTTTAAATAAACTGAATAGTAAATTCAGGTCACATCCCACTGAGGAGGTAGAAAATTCCATCACAGTCAGTTTAAAAACTTTTTTTTTTAATAATTCATGTAACATGAAATTCACCCTTGTAAGGTGCACAATTCAGTGCTGTTAGCACATTCACGATGTTGCAGAACCATCACCACTGTCTAATTCCAGAACATTTTCATCACCCCAAACAGAAACCCCATAGCCATTAGCAGTCACTCTCTATTTCCCCTTACCCCCAGTCCCTGACAACCACTAACTTACTTTTTGTCTCTATGGATTTACCTATTCTGATGTTGTTTCGGGGTGCTATCAAGTCCAATTTGACCTACAGCGACCCCATGTGACAGAGTGGAACTGCCCATAGGATTTTCTTGGCTGTAACCTTTTCTTTCTTGTTTTATTGTTGTGCTTTAAGTGAAAGTTTACAATTCAAGTTAATTTCTCATACAAAAATTTATACATACATTGTTACATGACCCTAATTGCTCTCCGTATACTGTGACAGCACACTCCTCCTTTCTACTCCGGATCTCCCATGTCCATTCAACTAGCTCCTGACCCTCTCTGCCTTCCCATCTCACCTCCGGACAGAAGCCGCCCATTTAGTCTCATGTATCTACTTGAGCTAAGCAGCACACTCTTCACGAGTATCATTTTATGTACCATAGTCCAGTCCAATCTTTGTCTGAAGAGTTGGCCCAGGAATGGTTTCAGTTTTGGGTTAACAGAGAGCCCGGGGGCCCTGTCTTCCGTGGTCCCTTCAGTCTCAGTCAGACCATTAAGTCTGGTCTTTTTACTAGGATTTGAGTTCTGTACCCCACTTTTGGTTGTAATCTTTATGGGAGCAGATGGTCAGGTCTCTCTCCCACAGAACTGCTGGGTGAGTTTGAACCACCCACCTTTTAGTTAGCAGCTGAGTGATTAACCACTGTGCCACCAGGGCTGCCTACCTATTCTGGACGTTTCACATGA